TCAGTTTGGTGAGGATGCCGACGTCAAGATCAAGGATGACCCAGACGCCGACTGGGAAGGCGACTGACACTGTGGGGTGGCTGGGTGGGTGCAACGGCGGCTTCACTGGAGCCCGGAAAGTGTGTATAGCGGCACGTGTACAGCGGTAGATTTGTCAGCTACATTAGTGGAGGTGATTGTAACAAAGTGTCAAATATTGTAGCCGTTAGTGATGTGTGTCATATGGGGTACAGCAGTTAGGGTTGAGCTTATGTACTCCAACCAACCTTAGTCAAGCCATCATTCAGTTCTTGACATGGTATCACCTAGGTTAGGATCCTGTCGGACCCTGTTCGTTTCGCTCTAGCCTACCACGCCTGTAGCGTCTATCGCGCCCGCCCGTCCCGTCCCGTCCGTCCCCTCGCGTCGCGCCTGTCCGTTCTGTCTTGTCCCGTCACATCTATCCGTCCCGTCCGTCGCGTCCCATCCCATCCCGTCGCGTCCCCTCGCCCGCCGCGCCAGCCGCGCCTGCCGCGCTTGCGCTGGCTGCGCGCCTGCGGCGCGCCTGCCGTCCGCGCCTCCCGCGCTCGCCACGTCTGTCCCGTCCGCGCCCGTCGCGCTAACCCCGACCGTCGCGCCTGCCCTGTGTCTGCACCCGCCTCTCGTCCTCGCTCGTCCGCGTCCGTCGCACGTTCACGCCCTGCCCGTTCGCGCCCGTCGTTCCTTGCGCATTGCCCGTCGCGTCTGCTGCCCCCTGCCCGTCCAGTGACGCTTCCGCTATGGCGACGCCTTAGGTCCTCCGCTTTGATGCCAAGGGTAGGCCACTTGAGTTCTCTGTCTGGCTCCAACATGCGCAGCGCCTCCTAGAGAGTCAGGTTCAGGCAGACGAGTATCCGTGGGCGCACGCTTCCGGTGACCTTCCTGCGCCCTCCGACCCTGCACCCTTAGGCGCTGACGCCAGCACTGCAGACAGAGAACGTTATACACGCCAGCGTGCTGACCTGACAGCATGGAAGTCGCTTGACATTGTGGCCTGTATCGCACTTAGCAGCCTCCTCTATGAGTGTGAGGAGACCCACTTCACTCAGGTTCGCACTGCTAGTGAGTTCCTGACTGCGATCAAGGCCCGCTACGCTACTCCCACCACTGTCTCTCTTGGTCGACATGTCCTTCCGTTCCTCTTTCCTGACCTCGCCTGGATTGAGCGCTCTGCTGACTTGATCGCTCACCTGCGCTCGCTCGATTCTAGCTACCGCGCTGCTTGCACTTATGCACAGCTTGCACTGCTTCCTCCCCCCATGGCGATTACTATCTATTTCATCGCCACTAGCCTCCTTGACCGCCTTGCCTCGGTTCGTGACGCGCTTCTTCTGAAGCACCCTAGCGAGCTCACTATCGAAGTTCTTGAGTCTGCCCTCAAGGACGTCGAGAGCAACCTCCGGTCAGTAGCCTTCGCCTTTGGCGCTGTGCCCCCTCCACTGTTTCACGGGTGCACTTTCGCACAGCTGCCCACTTTATTGCCTCCCTCGCCACTGCTGCTACTGACGTGACCGCAGCTGCTGTTACGACTTCTTCGCGGTCTCGGGGTAGGGGTGGTAGGAGGGGCGGTCAGGGTGCGGGCGGAGGCGGCGGAGGTATCGTGGCGAGTGGCGGTGGCGGGAGTGCAGGAGTGGGAGGAGCGCCTCGTGCAGCGCCTAGTGACTCCCCTACTGCAGCTTGTGGAGGCGACGCTTGGGGACGTCAGACGCCTGCTGGACTGCCAACTACATGTGCTGGAGTGGCGGCATGGTACCTAACTTAGCGACAGCAGCAGCAGCAGCAACAGCAGCAGCCACCGCAGTAGCAACGGCAGTAGCAGGTTCCGGGGCAGGGCTCAGGACCGCGTTAGATGTCGCGCGGTGCCGTCCACCCTCCCTGCACCTATATCGTCGAGACAGGTACTCGGCGAGGCCTCCCCTGTGGCTGCAGCCACACCACAGGTCAGTGCTTTGCTCAGCTCACTGACACTCTTCGCGCGGCCTACGGTGTTGACGGCCCTGCCTCTGACTGGCTTCCTTTTCTTCACTCGCACGGTGCTGCCCTGCGAGGCATGTCTGCTTCTCAGTTGCTTGATCTCTTAGGAACACCTCTTTCTATGTATGCTGTTGTTGACTCAAGTGCTTCTGACTCTGTTTACTCGAGTGTTGTTAGCTTAGGTGCTAGTGTTGCTGAGGTGCCTGTTGCTAGTGTAGGTACTTGTGTAGACACTAGTCCAGGAGCTGCTCCGGAGGACGCTTCGCTGTCTTTCACTCTAGTCACTGCTCGCTACACTATTACTCTTCCATGTCCGGCTATTCCCTCGGGTTTCCTGACCGGCTTTTACATCCCCTCGTTCTCCAGGAACTTGGTGGGTGTGAGGCCGCTCGTGGACAGTCACGTGGGTGTTTGGATTGAGCCTTCTGTGGACACTGCGACATGTGTAGACAGTGACAAGTACGCGCCCCTAGCCACCTTTCACGCTGGGCCGGGCTCTGGTCTCTACACACTTCACACTGGCCTCGAGAGAGGCAGCAGCAGCATCGGCAGCAGCGGCGGCAGCGGCGGCGGCAGCGACAGCAGCGGCAGTAGCAGTGGCAGCAACAGCAGCAGTGGCGGCAGCAGCAGCAGCAGCAGCGGCAGCAGCGGCGGCAGCAGCAGCAGCGGCGGCAGCAGCGGCGGCAGCAGCAGCAGCAGCAGCGGCAGCAGCAGCGGCGGCAGCAGCAGCAGCGGCGGCGGCAGCAGCGGCGGCAGCAGCAGCAGCAGCAGCGGCGGCAGCGGCAGCAGCAGCGGCAGAAGCAGCAGCAGCAGCAGCAGCAGCAGCATCGGCAACCGCAGCAGCAGCGGCGGTGGCGGCAGTAGGCAGCGGCGGCAGCAGGCAGCGGCGGCAGCAGCAGCGGCGGCAGCATGCAGTGGCATCAGCAGGCAATGGCAGCAGCAGGCAGCGGCAGCAGCGGCGGCGGGGGCAACGGCTGCGGCGGTAGCGGCAGCAGCGGCACCTGCAGCAGCGGCAGCGACAGCAGCGGCAGCGGTAGCAGCGGCAGCGGCGGCAGCGGCAACGGCCGCAGCGGCTGCAGCCGCAGCGGCGGCAGCGACGGCGGCGGCAGAAGCAGAAGCAGCAGCAGCAGCAGCAGCAGCAGCAGCAGCAGCAGCAGCAGCAGCAGCAGCAGCAGCAGCAGCAGCAGCAGCAGCAGCAGCAGCAGCAGCAGCAGCAGCAGCAGCAGCAGCAGCAGCAGCAGCAGCGCGGCGGCGGCAGCAGCAGCAGCAGCAGCAGCAGCAGCAGTGGCAGCAGCAGCAGCAGCAGCGGCAGCAGCAGCAGCAGCAGCAGCGGCAGCAGCAGCAGCAGCAGCGGCAGCAGCAGCAGCAGCAGCAGCAGCGGCAGCAGCAGCAGCAGCAGCGGCGGCAGCAGCAGCAGCAGCAGCGGCAGCAGCAGCAGCAGCAGCGGCGGCAGCAGCAGCAGCAGCAGCAGCGGCAGCAGCGGCGGCAGCGGCAGCAGCAGCAGCAGCAGCGGCGGCAGCGGCAGCAGCAGCAGCAGCAGCGGCGGCAGCGGCAGCAGCAGCAGCAGCAGCAGCAGCAGCAGCAGCAGCAGCAGCAGCAGCAGCAGCAGCAGCAGCAGCAGCAGCAGCAGCAGCAGCAGCAGCAGCAGCAGCAGCAGCAGCAGCAGCAGCAGCAGCAGCAGCAGCAGCAGCAGCAGCAGCAGCAGCAGCAGAAGCAGCAACACCACCAGCAGCAGCAGTCGCAGCAGCCGCCACTTTTGGAGAAGCCGCCACTTTTGCAGCAGCCGTTCCCACCAGCCGCAGCAGCAGCCGCTGCAGCAGGAGCAACAGCAGCAGCCGCAAAAGGAGCAGCCGCAGCGGCAGCCGCTGCTGCAGGAGCAGCAGGCGGAGCAGCAGCAGGTGCCACCTTCGCCTCCTGTCTCTAGTCTTCGGACCCTCGGTCTCCCCTCTCCCTCTCCTCCCTCCTCCCCCTCTCCTCCTGTCTATGGTCCCGCGTTTCCTCCTCCAGACTCCGCCCGAGCTATTTTCCCCTGTTCTCAGCCTGTGTTGTCCCCTCCTCTTTCTCACGCGTGGACTTCTCGTTCTCGTCCCTCGTCCCCTATCCATCTCACTGACCTTCGTACTGTCCTGTTCCGTCCTAGTCCGCCTCGTTCGTCTCCGTCTGTGCTTCCTTCTCCCCTTGAGTCAGCCCTCACTACTTCCCTCTCTACTCCTGTCACTGACTACTACCGTGCATTCCATCCTGTTCTCTCTCGTCTTCTTGCCCCTCTTGTTATCGACCCCCGTGCTTCTCTGTCCTCTGTCTCCGCTCTTACTGCCGCAATACTGAGTTTCCCTCTAATCGCTGCCTTGTCTACGCCACTAGTCTCCTACCAGTCCTCTGGCCGTCGGGGGTGAGTCTGCCCTTGGCTGTGATGCACTAGAGGATAGGCTGTTTGAGCTCGAGTTCCTGGCAGCCGCTTCTTCTCATCTCTGTGCCATGCTGCTCGCTCCTGAGGGAGGCCTCGACGCCCTTGTCATACCGACTCCTCGCACTTACGCTGACATCGCACGAAGAAATGTGGCTACCAGCAATTAGCTGGAAGCCTTCGTGATGACTCCCGATTTCAGGAGTCCTGTCAATCTGCTTCCAATGCGGGGGGGTAATTGTGGGGCAACAAAACCTCCTGCAGTCAACCTGCGCAGTGCCGAAACCAATCTGCGAGGCAATTGCAATGGGTAAGTTGCGCATCGCATGTCAAGGAGCAGGGTTAGAAGAACTTATCCGAGGCCTATTCAGCTTTGTCTTGGCCTGGAACCTTCCTCCAAGCATTTGCTGCTGTGTATGTTTCACATGTGGGCAATGGGGAGCCTTAACACTGTGCTGCGGGGAGAGAATATTAACTCCTCGGAACGCTCGACCCTTTTCAACGCTGCGGGTTGGGTTGCCCAACTTCTCAGGTACCTGAATAATCTCTAAGGGCTTTTTCTTAGCCTCTAAATCTCCCCTGAAGTCCTGAAAATCATGAGAAGTAATACTCTTAGTTATAGTATCTTTATAGGATAACGTTAACGAATTCTTACTTTCATGGGTGTTCGGCTGGAGTTTCCTGGTCGGTGCAGAGTCTTGTTTCGCGGAGCCTCCATTTGTCTCGGCGATTTCCCCTGTTGCCGGCCGGTCGTGACGTTTTAAATTCGCGCCATCATGTCCTCCTTTTTTTGCATGCCCCGAAGTCGCCACGCCGTCGCCTTTTCGCTTTATCCTGATTTTTTTCGTGATCGCCAGCTACTGGCGATGCTCGTTTTTTTTACTTCGGAGGTGCCGCACTGTTGTTGCCCTGCAGCTCTGCTCGTGCCTTCTTCATTTATTCTGTCGGCCGCTGCTGTCAAATTATATGCTTCTGATTATTTCTCTCTAGGTTGTGTAGGGGTGATTCCTTAGAGGGTACAACCCAACTCTCTCGATTGTCTTGTACCCCCTCCCCTTAGCTAATCGACATTCCTTCCTCTCTAGTTCGAACATGGTATAGAGCAGGATAGTTTCCTCGGGCCCACCACTGAAAACGAATATTTTTTTTCCTGCCCGGAGCGCGCTTCGCGCCTACCCTAGTCGCGCCCCGTGCGCCTGCCCTTAGCGGCCCGTCGCGGCCCCTCTTAAGGTCCCCTCGCGGCCCCTCGTCTGGCCCCTCGCGACCCCTCTTAAGGCCCCTCGTGGCCCCCTCTCTCACGGCCCTGCGCGGCCCCTTTCGCGGCCCCTTTCGCGGCCTCGTCGCCGCCCCTTCGCGGCCCCGTCGCCGCCCTTCACCGTCCCGCGCGGCCTCCTTACGGCCCCGTCGCCGCCCTTCGCGGCCCCTCCAGGACCCGTCGCCGCCCTTCGCGGCCCCTCCAGGACCCGTCGCCGCCCTTCGCGGCCCCTCTCGGCCTCGTCGCCGCCTCAGCAGCAGCTGCCGTCCCTTTCCCGGCCGCCGCTGCTGCTTGGCGCTGCCACTCGCCGCGGTCCTGCGCGGGAGTGCCGCCCCTCCCTTTGGTGCGGCCTCTGCCTGCAGCAGCTGCCGCAGCCGACCCTGCAGCAGCTGCCGCCGCCGAACCTGCAGCAGCAGCCGCCGCTGCGACTGCAGCAACTGCCGCCGCCGAGCCTGCAGCTGCTGCCGCCGCCCAACCTGCAGCAGCTGCCGCCGCCGACCCTGCATCAGCTGCCGCCGCCGACTCTGCAGCAGCTGCCGCCGCCGAGCCTGCAGCAGCTGCCGCCGTCACTGCTGCCCCGGCCCTGCACTGCCCAACCGCGCTACTGCTGCTGCTGTCACTGCTACTGACGCTGCTACTGTTCCACCCACCACTACTGCTCCTACTGCTACTATGGCTAGCCTTCGATGCTGAGGGCCGCCCAGTGAAGTTTGACACCTGGCTAGATGACCTGCACCTCTTCCTACAGCTCACTGCCAAGGAGGACATTTCACTGTACGATCACGCCCTAGGCCATGCTACTGCCCCTGATACTTCTGCTGACAGCACTGCCCGCTCACAGTGGCAGACTCGTGACGCCCACGCTCGCTTTGCTATTCGCAACTCGTTGCCGCTAGATGAGCGCGAGCACTTTGGCCAGCACAAGACTGCACAGGAACTGTACACTGCTGTCGTCGCTCGCTACTCCTCACCTGCTTCTGCCGCACTAGGCCGCCTCTCACTCCCCTACCTGTTCCCCGACCTGGCCTCCTTTCACACAGTTGCTGACCTCATCACCCACCTCAAGACTAGTGAGGCCCGCTTCCGCGCTGCTATGCCCGATGAGTTCCTTGCTAGCAACCCCCCCCCGCTCTGGCTCACTCTCTACCACATCGTCACCCGCCTCCCTGACTCTCTGCGCTCAGTCAGGGACCACTTCCTAGCTCGCTGCCCCACTGAGCTCACCATTGCCCTCCTCGAGAAGGAACTACTTGCAGCTGAGGCGAGCATCGTCGCTGTAGGTGCCTCTCGTGGCGACCCCCGCACCCCTTTCTTTGAGGGGTGTTCCCCTTCCCCCCTTCTCCCCTCTGTAGCCTCTGCTTCTGCTGTCGACCTCCTTGGTGCTGAGAAGGTCGGGACGGCGTCTGCTCCGAGCGGGCGCCGCAGGAACAGAGGGGGCAGGGGTGGAGGTGGCGGCGGGGGAGGCGGGGGTGGGGGAGGTGGGAGTGGAGGTGGGGCTGGAGAGGCTAGTGGCGGCAGTGGGGGTGGTGACGGCAGCGGCGGGGGCGGTGGCAGGGGCGGAGGTGGTCGTGGCAGCGGCAGGGGAGGAGGTGGTCGAGGAGGTGGCGGCGGCGGTGGTGGTCGTGGAGGCGCTAGCAGCGGCCTGAGCCAGCAGCCCAGTCCGTCCCTCCAGGAGGCCCGTGAGTGGTACTCTCAGCACGGGGGGGGGGGTGGGCTTCGCTGCACGTACGTTATCCGCACTGGTGACCGCACTGGTCAGACGTGTGGGAGGCCGCACCCCACGCAGCGCTGCTTCTCTCGCCTCGATGACGCCTGGCGTGATCAGTACCCTGATGCCTCTGAGCTGCCCCGCTGGTTTGATCTGCTGAAGAAGGGAGTTGATATCTATGCTCTAGACTTTGATGCTATTCTCACTGCCATGTATGTGATGTCTATTAGTGGAGAGAGTGCTCAGTACCTGTGTGTTCCGCCCGACCCGGGCATTCGGACCAGTGAGGCTGCCGCTCTAGGTGCTAGTGAGACTGCCACTCCAGGTACTCGCGTGTCTGCTACCCCAGGTGCTGGTGAGGCTGCTGCTCTAGGTGCTCGTGAGTCTGTGCCCCCCGGTTCTGAGTCGACTGAGGCACTGCACACCTTCACACTGGACTCAGGTGCTTCTCGCTGTTTCTTTCATGACCGCACTGTCCTTGAGCCGCTCGCTCGGCCAGTTGCTGTCTCCCTTGCTGACCCCTCTGGGGGCCCGGTCATTGCGACCTCCTCCACTGTCCTTCCTTGTCCTGCGGTCCCGTCGGGCACACTGTCAGGTCTCCACCTCCCCTCGTTCTCTACGAACTTGGTGGCGGGTTGTGCGCTCCAGGACGCGGGTGTTCACCAGTTCACCCCTGCCTACGAGCGCGTGACACACTGCACGTGTGCTCGGACGGGCCGTCACCTGGCTACCTTTACTCGGCAGCCCTGTACACACTGACCACTGAGTCCCCTCAGGTAGCTGCGTCTGCGTCAGGTCAGTTGTCACCCCCCTGCTCGTGTTGCTCTCTGGCGCACGAGACCGTCCTCTGGCACCACCGACTTGGTCACCCGTCTGTGCAGCGCCTTCGGGCCATGCACAAACGGTGCCTTGTCTCTGGTCTTCCCAGGGTTCTCCCTCCCCTCCCACCCTCGCCTGCTCCTCCCTGTCTTCCCTGTGTCGAGGGGCGGCAGCGCGCCGCTCCTCACTCCTCCTCCTTTCCCCCGACGACTGCTCCCTTGCAGACGCTCCACATGGACGTGTGGGGCCCAGCCCGCGTCCGTGGACAGGGTCAGGAGAGGTACTTCCTGATTGTTGTTGACGACTACTCTCGCTACACCACGGTCTTCCCCTTGCGCACCAAGGGTGAGGTCCCTGCTGTCTTGATCCCTTGGATCAGCAGAGCTCGTCTCCAGCTCAGCGAGCGTTTTCGCTCGGACTTTCCTGTCCTGCGTTTGCACTCTGACAAAGGTGGTGAGTTCTCCTCCGACCTTCTGGCAGCCTACTGTGCCGAGCACGGCATTGAGCAGTCGTTCACGCTTCCGGCCTCTCCACAGCAGAATGGGGTTGCTGAGCGCCGCATTGGCTTGGTCATGGAGGTCGCTCGTACCTCCCTGATCCATGCGGCTGCTCCCCACTTTCTGTGGCCGTTTGCGGTCCGATACGCTGCGCATCAGCTCAACCTCTGGCCCCGTGCCTCCTTGCCGGAGACTTCCCCGACACTGCGTTGGACGGGAGAGGTTGGCGATGCGTCGCGTTTCCGGGTCTGGAGATCCCGAGCTTTTGTTCGCGACACGTCCGCGGACAAGCTCTCCCGTCGCGCTGTCCCCTGTGTCTTCCTTGGCTTTGTCCCGGACGCGCCTGGTTGGCAGTTCTACCACGTCACCTCGCGCCGGGTTCTGCCTTCTCAGGACGTCACTTTTGACGAGTCCGTCCCCTACTACCGCCTCTTCCCCTACCGCACTGCTCCGCTCCCCCCCCCGCCTCTCTTCCTCGCGCCAGGTGCTGCTGTGGTAGACCCCCTCCCCCCTCAGGGTGCCCTCAGGTGTGTCCCAGGTAGACCCGGTTGAGCCTGTCGAGGTAGCTGTCGAGTCTCGTCCTGCTAGGGGAGCTGAGCCTGCGTGTGAGGAGCCTGGCGGTGCTGAGCCTGGGGGTCTTGAGCGTGGGGGTGCGGAGCCTGGAGGTGCGGAGCCTGGGGGTGCTGAGCATTGGGGTGCTGAGTCTGGGGGTGCTGCGTCTGGGGGTGCTGAGTCTGGGGGTGCTGAGCCTGAGAGTGCTACACCTGGAGGAGCCCTCTCCTCACAGCAGCTGCAGGAGAGGTACCTACAGTACTGCAGCCTCCGGAGAGGTGCTGCTGGAGCTGGTACCAGTGCTTCCCCTCCTACCCGGGAGCTCCCCTCCCTTCAGCAGATCCGAGAGTGGTACACGCGGCGCTGCAGTCTTCGGAGTGGCGCTCCTGGTGCTGCGGACCCTGGAGTTGGAGCTACTGCTGGTGCTGAGGACCCGGGCGGTGGAGCTGCTGCTGGTGCTGAGGACCCGGGCGTTGGAGCTGCTGCTGGTGCTGAGGACCCGAGCGGTGGAGCTGCTGCTGGTGCTGAGGACCCGGGCGGTGGAGCTGCTGCTGGTGCTGAGGACCCTGGCGCTGGTGTCTCTGCTGGTTCTGGAGACGCTGCGCGGCCGCGACCGTACTTCGTACCGCTCCTTCAGCAGGTTCTTTCTCAGGCTCCTCCTCCTTGTCCTCCTCCCTCCGTAGAGTGTCCTGAGCCTGTCCAGTCGCAGTCACAGTTACCGCCTGCCTCGCCTCTCCCTGGTCCCTCTCCTTACACTGGTCCCACAGGAGGTCTTACGGAGCATCGTGAGCCTGAGTCTCGTCCTGCGTCGCCTGTTCGTGCTGCTCGCACTGGTCGTCGTGTCCCACGTGAGCGTCCTCCTCCTGTCCCTGGCACTCACTACATGACTCTGCGTCCCTCCACTGCTCCTCAGCGTGTCCCTCTGCCGTCTCCTCCTGCGTCCTCTCTACCTACTCTTCCTGACCCGGAGTCTGACTCCCGTCGTGCTGCCAGTCCCACTGTCACGCGTCTCCTCGCCACTGTTGTCACTGACCCTACCTTTGAGTCCTCTGCTGCGTCTGCTCTGGTCGCTGAGTTAGTTGACTTTGCTGCCCGGTGTCGTCTAGACTACACCGCTAGCCTTGTTGCTGAGTCTGAGTCTGTCTGTCCTCCGTCCGTCGGGGGTGAGTGTGCTCTTGGCACGGACGTCCTTGAGGACAGACAGGAGGAGTTCCAGTGCTTTGCTGCTGCTTTGCCCCATCTCGTGTCCATGCTAGTTGCCCCTGAGGGAGACCCGGATGCACCAGACATCCCGACCCCGCGCTCTTACGCTGAGGCGATGGCGGGTCCCTACTCCTCTCAGTGGCAGACAGCCATGGACGCAAAGATGGCTTCCTGGAAGTCCACAGGCACCTACGTCGACGAGGTTCCCCCACCTGGGGCGAACATCGTCAGTGGCATGTGGATTTTCAGGGTGAAGCGGCCGCCGGGTTCTCCTCCTGTCTTCAAGGCGTGCTACGTTGCTCGAGGCTTCAGTCAGCGAGAGGGAGTAGACTTCTTCCAGACCTTCTCCCCCACCCCAAAGATGACTACTCTTCGGGTGCTGCTGCACATAGCCGCTCAGCGCGACTACGAGCTTCACTCACTTGACTTCAGCACTGCTTTCTTGCAGGGCAGCCTGCACGAGGAGATCTGGCTGTGCCGCCCTCCTGGCTTCACTGGGTCGTTTCCTCCTGGTACCCAGTGGAGGCTCCAGCGGCCGGTCTACGGTCTCCGCCAGGCGCCACATGAGTGGCACGACACACTGAGGACGACACTTGCGGCTCTTGGGTTCGCTCCCTCTACTGCTGACCCGTCGCTGTTTCTACGCACCGACACCTCGCTGCCGCCGTTCTACATCCATGGTGCAGCAGATTCTTCAGCGCTTCCGCTTCACGTACTCCTCGCCTCAGTCTACCTGTCACTCGCTCTCAGCTCTGCCTTCGGATGAGTCCGTAGAGCCGAGTGGCCCGTATCCAGAGCTTGTGGGCTGCCTCATGTACCTGATGACCTGCACTCGACCTGACCTTGCATACCCTCTTAGCATCCTTGCACGCTATGTCGCTCCTGGCCGTCACAGGAAGGAGCACATGGATGCAGCTAAGAGGGTGTTGCGCTACTTGTGCAGTACGTCGGGCATGGGGCTAGTGCTTGGAGGGCGAGACCGAGTTGTACTTACTGGACACTCTGACGCTTCTTGGGCAGACGACCAGGCTACTCAGCGGTCGTCTCAGGGTTACACCTTCAGTCTTGGCTCTGGCTCAGTTTCTTGGCGTTCTACACGCTCTTCTTCTGTTCTCAGCTCCAGTTGTGAGGCTGAGATCTACGCCACAGCCATGGCTGCCCAGGAGCTACGCTGGCTGACCTACCTGCTGACCGACTTGGGAGAGCGGCCTCGTTCTCCTCCAGTGCTGTACGTCGACAACAAGGCTGCCATCGCCTTGTGTGAGGAGCACAGACTGGAGCACAGAACGAAGCACATTGCCCTGCGGTACTTCCTTGCTCGAGAGCTGCAGCAGCGCGGTCAGCTTCGTCTGCGTTACGTGGCCACTGAGGCCAACACTGCTGATGTGTTCACCAAGGCGCTTCAGCCTTGTGACCATCAGCGCTTCTGTACTCTTCTAGGCCTTGTGCCTGCTGGACCTCACTTGCTTACTTCTTGACTCTGTTTGTACTGTGATCTCTATATATATACCTGCATGTTTACACTTGCTAGGTTGTGATCACTGTATCTCTTGTTATATTATCAAACTGCATGTGAACTGGTCTTGTGACCACTTGCTTGTGCTCAGAATTTGTGTGGTATCCTTGAGATCCACCCTGAGCTTTGTCTTATTTGTTCTCCTGCTTGACTGGTCCGGTGACCACTGTTAGGTTTGGCTATCCCCCCTACTTCACCTATGGGGGTGTGTCAAATTATATGCTTCTGATTATTTCTCTCTAGGTTGTGTAGGGGTGATTCCTTAGAGGGTACAACCCAACTCTCTCGATTGTCTTGTACCCCCTCCCCTTACCTAATCGACATTCCTTCCTCTCTAGTTCCAACAGCTGCTTCACGTCGATTTTGTCGATATCTATCGGGTCGGCGGTCACGGGTGGTGCCGATCGCTTCGTGTCGAATGATCTGTTCGGCACGTGGCGTCGTGTCTCGGGTTGACCTTGCGACAGCGCATCGAATCTCGCAACTTCACACACCATGTCACGGTAGTTGATGTAGTTCGCGGCGATCACCTGTCAGCAGACTTCCATTTTTAACCCCTCAGTGTACGCTTGGATTTTTTCCCCTTCGGTCAGGTCGGTAATTCGGTTGAAGAGGCTCTCCATCTGCTGCGTGTACTGTGTCATACTGCTGTACTGCTTGTGCCGATGAATCTGCTGCCGCGCCATGTAGCTGGAATTGATCGGTTCGAAACGTTGAATTAAAGCTGCCCGAAACTGCGTCCATGACCCCTCGCCTCGGATCTCGTTACTGCTTAAATCCACTCGAGCGCCGGGCCTCGCAACAGTGTTGCTGCGAGCCGAATCCGCATTGCATCGTGTGTCGGGGTCGTACAGCCAACGGCCTCGAAGTAAATTTCGAGGATCACAATGAATCGACGGACGTCCGTGTCTCTCGCGTTCGAATTGAATGTCTCCGGTAGCTTCGGACTTGCCGCCTCAAGATTCACTGTAGCCGCTGCCGCTGCTGCTGTTGCTGCTGCTGCTGCTGCTGCTGCTGCTGCTGCTGCTGCTGCTGCTGCTGCTGCTGCTGCTGCTGCTGCTGGATGATGTGTCGGTGTCGCCACTGCTGCTGCTGCCGTCGCTACTGCATTCGCTGTTGCGAGTGTAAGGCGATGACGCTCACTATGGCAGCTGCGAGGCGTGCATGCAAAACAAGTTTGCGCAGTTTCCGTTTCCATGTGCGGAGGGATCAGCCAAGGCACCATTGGAGGTGGTGCACATGAACCCAGTGGGTCCTATGAGGACAGAGGGGACCAAGGGGGTGCTGTACTTCCTCACCATGGTGGACGAATGGAGCAGATTCTTATGGGCTCGTCCCTTGTCCAAGAAGAGCAGTTCTGCAGCGGCGATCAAGGAGGATTGGTTGCCGATGGTGGAGCGGCAAGCGATGCGGTTGGTGAAGGTGCTGAGGAGTGACCGAGGAGAAGAGTTTCTTGGAGCGGAATTCACCAAGTTCCTCAAGAGGAATGGCATCCGACACCAACTGACCTGCCCTGGAACACCGCAGCAGAACGGCATTGCTGAGCAAGCCAACCGGACCATTGGCGAGGCTTCTAAGACTCTCTTGGGGGCTGCTGGGATGCCCTACAAGTTCTGGCCTGAAGCTGTTCGACAAGAACATGGTCTTGACGCATGTTGGCGACAAGCACTGTGTGCCATACGAGCTTTGGCTTGAGTAGAAGCCATACATTGTCATGCTGCGGGTGTGGGGCTGCATGGGGCTTGTGATGGTGCCTAAGGAGCAGAGGCACAAGCTGGAAGTTGCTGCTGTGTGGGCTGTCCATCTTGGGATGGCTCCTGACTCGAAGGGGTGGCTGATGTGGGACCCCAAGAGCAAGAAGACGCTGGTCAGCCGTGACGTCAAGTTTGTGGAGGACGTCATGTACAAGGACTGGCAGCAGCAGCAGCAGGTGCAGATTGGCTTGCGTCTGCAGGAGATTGAGCGGTCTGCAGTGGAAGAGGTTTAGCTACACCTTGATCCATGGGTCAGAGCTGGCCAGTAACCACACTAGCGGTGGTGAGCAACAAGTTTCAAGTCCTGCTGCGGAGGAGGGGTTGGAGGATGAGTCGGCACGTGTGGACTCACCATCTCAGCCCGATCCTGGTGCAACCGCCAAGGTCACCAAGATTAGTGTGCGGAAAGGAGCTTCACCACATGGGCAGCAGACTGCAACCCGCGAGAAGAGAGTTGCAACACTACCTTCAAGGCTGAAGTTTAGCCGTTTGGGAGGACCCAAGCAAGGTGCTATGGCGGTTCAGGCGGATGAGGGAGACGATGAGAAGATGGCGTTTTGTCATATTGGAGGAGGCACTGAGTGGACCCTAGAAGGAGGAGTGGAAGGCTGCCGTGGATGCAGAGTTCAACAGTCTCATTGAGAATGGGACTTGGGAGCTTGTTGAGTTAATCGAGGGGCGACGACCGATCAGCAGCAAGTGGGTCTTCAAGGTGAAGAGTGGAGCTGATGGTGCTTTGGAGCGGTTCAAGAGCCGCTTGGTCGCCAAGGGGTTTCAGCAGAAAGAGAAGGTCGAATTTAAGGAGAACTTTACTCCCGTTGCTAAACTAGTGAGATTGAGGACCTTGATGGCTGGCGCAGCTGTAAAAGGATGGCACATGAAGCAGATGGATATCAGCACACCATTTCTCAATGAAATACTGCTGGAGGATATCTATATGGCGCAGTCCGACGGCTATGAGGATGGTACCAGCCGGGTGTGCAAGCTCAAGAAGGCTATCTATGGCCTTAAGCAAGCGCCCAGGTGCTGGTACGAGAAGCTGGAGGAGGTGCTGCTGAGTGGAGGCTTCAAGACGTCCCAAGCGGATCACAGCTTGTTTCTGCTTGGAGAGGGGGAGCAGCTGCTCTTGCTGCTGGTGTATGTCGACGACATACTGCTGTTCTCACCTTCCATGGAGCAGATTGAGAGGGCACAGAAGCTGCTGGTGGACAACTTCAAGTGCAAGATGCTGGGGGATGCTTGGGGCTGCAGATTGAGAGGGATGTTGAGAGGAGGTGGCTGAAGATGCATCAGTCACACTACATCTCTGGTGTCATGGAGCGCTATGGTGTGACTGGGGGTCGCACTGTGATGACACCATTCCTACAGGCTTCAGACTGAAAAAGGCAGCTGTGGAGGATGATGTACTCGAGGATGAGCAGCAGAATGAGCATCCGTCACTCTTTGGGAGTATGATGTATACAGCTGTGCATACGCGACCTGATGCTTCATTCGGAGTGGGGCAGCTGGCCAGAGTTGTGCAGCGGCCCACTGAGGAGCAGTTGGAGGTGGCAAAGCGCTTGGTGCGCTACCTCGGATCAACGACATCTGCTGGTGTTCAGTTTTCAGCTGGCGGCCAGCTGAAACAGTATGGAGCAGACGGGATCACGCCTGGAACCCAACGCTACATAGGCCTCAGAGGAGGAGGATCAGTCATCAGTTGGCGGCTTTGTGTGCATGGTCGGAGGTGGACCAGTGAGCTGGAGGTCCAAGAAGCAGAGTGAGATTGCTCAGTGTTACGAAGAGGCAGAGTCATGGCAATGTACCATGCCATCAAGGCGATTGTGCTCGTAAGGAAGCTGCTGGAGGACATGGGTATTGAACAGGGACCTACACCACTTTTCTCCAACAGCGAGGCTCCCATTGGCATGGCCAATAATCCTATCATGAAGATGAAGTAGCACAGGGCGAGGCAATTGGTGAAGGAGGGGATTGTTGAGCTTCACCATGTGAAGGCTAGCAAGCAGGCGGCAGATTTTCTCACCAAGAGACTTCCCGAGAGCGCACATTGGAAGTGTGCAAAGATGTGTGGCATGGCATTGCACTAGTGTGGGCAGCAGTGTCATGAGTGCATGAGTGTTTGCATGCTTGTGAGTGTGTGTGCATGCAGTCCGTTAGTCTGAGGGGGAGTTTGTTGGATGCACGTCATTCTGAGTGCATGTCATCCTAACGTCCTGCCGAGTGCTCGTGCTATATAATGTACAGGCTGTCATCTCTCTCTTCTGGAAATTGAGGTTGAGCTCATTCATGGCGCTAAG